GAAGAGGATTTCGGGTTCAGGGTGTACAGCTTGGGGGCTGAGGTGCACAGGATGCTCGTCACCCCAAGCTCTCAACAGCAGGCGTACCTTGACACCGAGGCCTCTTTTTGTCTCTATGGCTTTCACAGCGGTGGCATGCCATGGTGTGGTCTCTTTCGTTGTCCTTCTCCATTGGTTCCTGCCCTGCTTCATTCTGTCTGCCCAACCAAGGCCGGCGCCACGATCTCATCCTCCTCCCTGCACGCCTTTTGTCCCCCATGTGAAGCAAATCCTGGAACCTATCTATGGTGCTTAATGGGGGAATATACAAGGATAGCAAACCCAATACACACCAGCAAAACTTGTCCAACAAATCTCTCATGACCAGCGCCCACCGGTTCACTAACATGACATCCCAAGCAAGGGGTTTTCTTGGAGGTTGAGAGTTAGTTTATAAGCATATCAACCTTCAAGTATCCTCCAGCCAGCCATGCAACATTTACCCTAAACCCTGAACCCTCCAGCCGCCTACGTAGGTCCCGGGAGCAACAGCATCTGCACCATTCTTGTCTGCAAAGATGTGGAGCTCCATGATCTGCAGCTGGTTGCCTGCAGGGGGCTTAAAGCCAGCATTGGCAGCATGTTCCCCAAGCCCAAATGCCTGAGGCGTCGAAGGCCAGGAGATCCATCACGATGAGATTTTGGAGGCCTGCCTCTGCAGACTTCGGGCCTCAGCTGATGGCAAGGTGACCTCGCCCTCTAGCCTGTCTAGCTCCTCTGCAAGAGAGGGACCCATCTTCACCCGGACCGTGTTGTACTTTGGTGCCAGGGAGGAAGCTGGTGGCCGCTCGTTCAGGGAACCTGAGGCCAAGCCAGAAGCTTCACCCCCAAAAAGGCAAGTGACAGTTTCCCGCAGCACCTGCTGGTGGGTAGAAGCGCATGTAGTTGATGGTTGGAGCCTGGCCAAGGGCCAACTGGCCAAGTCAAGCTTCCCAAGGAATCAGAGAGGCTCTGAGGCTCTGAGGCTGAAGCTGCACCGTCAAAAGTCTCCAGCACGCTGATCTTCCAGAAGCGGCCTTCGCTCTGGAGGCTTCCAGGTTTCGTGTGCTTTTTACGCATTACACACGTGAATGAGCCTGCGTAGGAGCCTGCAAATGGCAATCGCCTCACTCCAGTCCATTCAGCATGGACTCGGATGGTGTCCACCTGCACCAAAACGTCTCGACTTCAAAGCCATACCTCTCTGCCTGCACATGAGTCGATTCGAGTCGGAGCCACTACCGCACAGTCTTGACATGCAAGGCTTTCTCTAGCGAACGCCGAGGGCTGAGGGAAAATCCACGTGAGTAATTAGTGAATTTCCTGGCTGAACCACGTAGACTTGTGTTCTTGTTACTACAGTCTTTCTCGTTGGGGACTGTAGCACCCCCATTTCAAACAGCAATCAGATGGTTTAAGGGCATGATTGGACCGCTCTCTCCGACTGAAGATGTGGCACCGGTTTCCACGGGCCAGCTGTGGAGGCATCTCCGAAGCTCACGGAGAAAAGCTTGGGAGACTTTACCTAAGATATTTTGCAGACGGATGACTTTTACATGCATGACGCATGAAGTCAACAGGGCCAAGCTACTGCAGTGGCTGCCTTCATCTCAAGGCCAGCGACTTGAATCGTGCTGTGCATGTCAAACCTTGGGTTGTTCTACTCAACGGGCGCCAAAAGGGATTGAATCGGATTGAAGGAACAGGCCTGCCAAGTGCAAAACACAAAGTCTGCGATCAAGAAGCACAACCCATGTTGGAAAGCTCCAATCTGGACCTGCGAATCTGAGGTCTGACTACCAGCTCAAGTAGGGGATGAGGGAATAGGCGTTTGATCCCCGGCCTCCAGCAAAGAGAAGCCCTCCCGAAATCTTATACTGTCGCAAATGGACGCTGCAATTACTTGGCATGGAGGGGCATGGATGCTCTGGGAATCGTATGCTCTTGAACATGGATGACAGCAAGGCTTGGCGATGGCTTGCTGTACATTGCCAATATTCCACAAGGCTTCATCAAGCAAATGTGGCAAAATGCGGGACGGTACTCCATATGCTGCTAGCATCCATTTGCCCACAATCCTCGGAGCACCAGTGAGGCACAGTGGCTTGAAGTGCTCTGGTGCTTAGTAGGGAATAGAGACATGGATGAGCGAGATTTAGGCCTAGGATCTGCAGAGCGCGCATGCCCAAACCATAATATTGTCCACGTTCGAGAGCATACCCTTCCCAGCGCATCCATGCCAAAACCACAATACCGTTCATTGTTGAGAGTGTGAGAGGAAAACGAGGACCCTCATGTCTACCAATACTGAAAACCATAAAATCCTGAGTCTGCAGAAAACGTGCCTTTTTGGCCCTAAGTGCTGATACCAACAAAATCGGTGCCTCGCGGCTCATTTCCCGCTTCAAACACACAGTACTATGTGTCCGAATTAATGCGAAGGCGTACCTTTAGCAACATTCCAGGAACAAAAAACCGGAGCACTTTTTCTCAAGGCCCCTCAAGATCATTGAAACGCTGCAAAAACTGAGGTAAACACAGTTTCTCGCACGAATTGCAAGACAATAAACTCTGTGGCGGGAAGTGGATCTCTACAATGATCTCATACATGTCCCTCTCCACACAAGTGTATATCACCCGGCCTCAACCCTAACCCGTAAATTTGTGATGGTATGGGTGCCTCCGAAGTTGGCATAGTTGTTGCTGCTGGCATCCAACAGGTTCTGAATCCTCAGGCAAAAGCCACGACACACTTCATCTTCCTGTGGATCCAACTCCTTTTCACGTGCACCGCCGAAACAACAGAACTACACGAATCAATAAAGCACAAAAGTATGAACCGCAAACGTTTAACCCCAAATCTTAAACAACAAACTCTGAATCCCAAACTCAATGCTGCACGGAGGCGGGCCATTGACATGCATGGGGCTACTGAGGGCCGTCATGACAGAGCTCAGAGGCTTAGACCAGTCCTCATTGCGATTGAGTTGGCGTTTAGATGCGTTCAAGGTTTTCGGGTTTGAGATGAACGATGCACAGGGCAGGATTTGGGAACTAGGGTTTAGGGTTGCATGGCTCATGGGTATTGGTGCGTGGCTTCTGCGACTCGTTGTCGCGACTGTTAGCGTCTTCTATAGTCTTTGTCAACATGCCACGTTGATTTGCCATTGAGATGCAGGCTTCCCTGAACCACTCCCTACCAGACTCTCGCCCACTCTTAGATCTCAACTAAATGGAAAGACATGATTCCGGCTTCACGTTGGCCACGCTCGGCAAGGTCATCTGCTTCATTGGACCTGCAGAAGCCGGATGCTGCGGGTAGCCTACTCTCCGAATAGCCTTAACATGTGGGAATTTGAGCCTTTTTTTGCGAGTCACCAGAAGGATACACACCTACATGAGCACCCCATTTTTGGAAACCTTGTTAACAAACTAAGCCTTCCCCCTGCAAAAGCTCCCTGCAGCCTAGGCACAATTCTCGCTGAAGCGCAAGTTGCTGACCTCCGCGGCCGGGCCGTTGTTGTCCTGAGCAACCATGAAAATCTTAGCCAGCAAAACATGCCTTTGGCCATGATTTCGCTCAGACTCCACAAGAACCACGGTCTGTTCTTGATCTTCGGCGTCCAGAAAACTGAGACTTGCATCGCCTGAGAGCCGGCAGCAGATCGATGTCTCAGCTTGACACAGGGGCTTTATGTGCTGAACTGAAGGGCGGATGCGATATTTGCAGCAATTTTGCAAAGTTTCACGGCTGATCTACACCCAGAGGATGGGCAAAAGCCTGCAGGTAGCCTAATCATGGTCTGAGGCACGGAAGGTTCCGCCGCAACCATCGGTGTTGGTGCCACCTTCCACGGATTGGGAGCAGAAACGGAGCTTGGTTCTCACACAGTCAGAGGGATCAGTTTGTAAATCGTTCGGCTCATGCACTCAAGCGGCTTTGGATGCACAGAGCTCTCCAATGCCTGTCGTTTCGCCAGTCCCTTCTGGAGCTACAGTATTGATTCATTTCCAGCAATCCAGCCTTCATTGGTGTACTCGATGCTGTAGCCCAACATCTCGTCAACAAAGTATGCTGAAAACGTCACCTGAAGGCTACAACATCATCAACAACAGCAGCAGCAGGGCAAAAGTGATGCAGTCCCTCAAACATGATGTATCTGAACGCATGACGCTCTGTGCCAACTTATTAGGATAAAATGCGGTGTGCTGGATTCCCTGCCAGCAGTTCATACCATGCAGGTGTTTTGGACCAAATCATCCGTACAAGTTAACCCTTCCAAATGATGGACGCTACAAAGCACCAAGGCACTGTGCGATCTTGGTTCTGCGCGCTGCTGCTGCAATCCCTGGAGATGCACAGCCAAAGCACAATCATCTGACGGCAAAAGCTTGCAGGAGCTGTGAGCACGACACAGAAACGCTCAGAAGTGCAATTGCAAAATGCAGCAAGGAAGAGCTTTCTGCTGTCATAAGCACCTGCAAGCAGACATTCAAACGCCTGCCTGTAAAAGAACGTCACAGTGCACGACTCCTTGACAGGAGCCTTCTTCATGGGACCTTTGACCAGTCATTCAGAAATAGCGCATGTGCCGCATGTGGTGGTGAATCTCTCAACGTTGCCCGATACTGTGGACAATCCGAGCCCTTCTGCTGGCAATCTTGGCCACAGCGCTCAGCTCACCTCCCCTTTGTAGGGAAGGAAATCATAAATCCCTGCATCGTTTGCTAAAGCCGTTTCCTTCTCTCTGCACTCGCAAGAAGCAAGTGGTAGCTCGCTAAAGAACACTTCTGGGCTACCCGCAATTCCCGCTGAAGCGAAGATTGCTGACCTCTGCCGCTGCCAAGTCGTTGTCCTCGTCAGTTGGCATTGCAGAAGCTGGTTCCAAGCAAACAACTGCAAACAGGGGAGTAGCATAGCGCTTGGGAGTTCGTAGTCATGTCCGTTCCAAACGGACAACAGAATGGAGACTCCTGGTTTTTTAATCGTCGCTTATTCCCACGCCTGGGTTAGATGGGAACCCAAAGTGCGGCTGAGCGACCACAAGAGTCACTGCCTTGCTCTCCCCTTGCGCATCCATGAACTTCAGGTCTGCATTGCCTCGTTCTTCCCACACAGTACAGGGTTTAGGGCTTGGGCCTGTGGGAGGCTCATGTGATGCTGCTAGATCAGCCGGGCAGCGATAGGTCCCGCGACATCCTAGAGAGTTGTCGCCCCCTTCGGCAGTATACCTGGGTCTGGACAGCAGAACTCACATCAAGCTGCAAAAATGCTGCTGTGATAGATGTTAATGTCCCGAAAAGGGCACATTGAGGGATCCAATTACAAAGAGTATACAGCAAACTGCAGGTCTCTTAAGAAGCTTGAGACATAACAAAATTGGAATGTATCTGGATTGAACAAGCCAGGCTGCTCGACCCGGTAGGTCAACGGGTAGCCTTCGTAGGACGCGCTGAAACTCACGGTAATGTCGCGATCATCTTGGCCATCCTGCAAGCATAGAAGATAAGTAGTGGCGGTTTCAGAGGGAGTGAGTACAGCCGAAGTCCTTGCAGTTCTTGTAGGTAAACGTGGCCTTGGTTGCAAAAGCAACTCGTATCACTGGTCCAGAAGAAACGGCGCTGGACATTAAATACTCAATACCCAACAGCCAAGCATGCGTGAGAAATCCTATCCCATTCCACACACGCAGTTCCTCGCTGATCGATCTTCTAGCAGGCCGTGACCACAATGCAGCCAAGGTACCGTGCATTCTTTGTTGGTTATGGCCTTTGGCTGGGCATCATGCAGCACATCTCAGAGAGTCATGTAGGAGTTTCTAAAAAAACGCAATAAGTCTGCGATGGGGACTGCTATAAGCTACCAATGGTCCCCACAAGTTTCTCAGGTTCCCAAGTGTACTGTTACTTGAGGAACGCCTCATGTTCTCCCTCCAGGCATCCTGCCTGCTTCTTCTCCGTTGGGACAATCTTCTTATAGGCAGATATCTTTCCAGTGCAGCGGCTCGCTTTCTGGTACTCCAAGGAGCCTTGCAAGTTTGTTTGGGATCTTGTGGTGGTCTAGGGTTTGGGCTCAACTCCATATTACAGTGTGCAAGGTTGCATGATTTTATCAGGTTCAATGTTAACTAAAGCATGGGACTGAACGTCGTCAAACAGCCTTGCATCGACACGTGAAATGGGCTTATTCATTGCAAAGGCACAAGTGAAACACGTGAAAGAAAGGCCCTGTGACCACACCATGGGCAGAAACCCCTTTTTGCCTGTCCCTAATCTTAATCTTCCCTTGCCAGCTATATGAACTACATAAGTTAAGCTCGCATGAAGGCGAAGCTGTGCTGAGAAGCAATCGTTGTCCGTGAAGGCGAGACAGCTGTCGCAGGGACTGTCTTCCTCAACAAGGGTCCAAAGCTCAGACCCGAACACCTCACACTCTAAGACCTACTAGACCTTAAACCCTAGGCTGCAAGTGCGGCCGTGCGTCAAAGGTCACGAAAGCCTTGCAGTCCTCTCGCCTCAGCTTCAGCAAACAAAGGTGGAACTTCGGGCAAGCCTTCCTAAAACAAGCCCTGGTCCAGAAAGCTCCCCTTTTCAGGTTTCAGGTTTGTTTGGAAGCAGTCCTCAGGTCATGGTGTGGCACACGAACTCTAACGGCCCTGCTGCCGAGAAACTGCGTGCACCACTCTTTGCACTGCTCCGGAGAGTCAGAGCTTCGGTAAGCCTCCGTGCCACAGGAAACACCTCGAGCCAAGGGAGGAGTACACACAGCGAGCCCGCTTACCATGTGGCTTCGCTGCACTGCCTGCTCCAACCTTGCTGTATGTCACTGGAACCTCCTCCTCCGTTTCGGTTGCCTGCGACTCCTTCACATAACCAACAGCATCATCTCTGTCGCTTCGTGAATCCCTGCCATACTGCATGCTACCTCTATTGTTTTTTTGCCAGCTCCTTCATGCAGGCATCGTTGCAGTAGCCCCATTGGCCAGAGATGTAATGACCTTGCAGGTCCAGGTCCGGTATCTTGGCCGTTTTGGTGACCAACTTTCTATGAAACAAGCCTGCGTGGGAGCGGCTGAGGAAGTTATGATTTCGTGGTCCTCCATTTTACAATGCATCTGCTGTTTACCCTCAACCTGGAGGACCCACAACTTCTACCATCTTAACACTCTATGATGTTCCCAACGAGCCTGTAAAGGACCTCATATCTGCCTTGCAGAAGATACTCCCTGTTTACTTCCCGAACCGGAGTCCAAATATCAGGCCCAGACCGTTGGCATCGGTTTCAGTTGCACACCACTTCGCTGAAGCCTCCAAAACAGATTCGTTCCAAAAAAGAATTGGCCCATGAAGGGTACGGAAGAAAAAAATGCTGTGCGTGGCTTCAGGGTCTCAAAATGGGTCTCTTTTAGAGTGGTCACTCCGACAAGGATGTTAGTCGATAGGGAACTACATTTTTGAAGTATTCCCGGATCAAAGGGCCTTACATAGGGATGCTGGAGAAAACGTTGCGGGCGTTATAAAGTATACAGTATATAGAATGATTCAGAAAAGGGGAGGTCATCTCCTCTACTGTTGCAGGATCAGCAAGAGGCCTCAGAATCCTGAAACGCACAGCCCTCAGGCCCGGGCCTGTGTCAGCGGTAACAGACACATGACTTGGAAGGAGGAATTTGTCTGCGTGTACCCCGAACACCCTCAGTAGTTCAAGGAATCTTCCTTGGCTTGCCGGGGGCTGAATTCACATGAGGTTGCACCTGGGTCGGCCAAGTCGCACATGCGGTGCCACTGGAAAAATGCGGTGCCACTGGAAAACTGAATTTCTGAATTGCTCTCTGTACTGAACAACTGGGATGTGCGGTTAAAATGCGGAGTTCAGATGCTGCCCTGCACGCAGCATCATTGCATCATTGGCTTGCAGCTGAATCTAATTCGGCCTTCTGCATCGTGCACTCGGTGTATAAAACACCGTCCTGAGGCAAGGGGTCTGACTAGGGTACGGCTAGGCAAGTAGATTACGAAACAATAGTGTCATCTAGAAAAGTACGTATCAACGACTATAGTGACTATATGATATCACCTTTGATCACTTGAATGTTTATGTCTAGGGTGGGACCGAATTACTGGCTGAACAGCTGACAGCAGAAAATGCCAAGGTGCGTAGCGAAAAGGGAAGACGCAGGCACGCTTGGCCCCTACCCCGCCACCACTCTTGGTGCCACAGCCGGCCTCAGTAGGTGGAGCTACCTCTTCCCCAAACCCAAAGCAACAGATTTGCTCATCTCACAAGTAGGCTCCCCCTCTACATTACATCCCCAACCAACTACAGCGCATAAGGAGTCCCAAGACTAACCTCCCTGTAGCAAGCTTCGGCCTGCACGCGGCAATCCCCAGTGAGCTGAACCACATCCAGAAAGGACACGTTCCTCTCCTCCCTGGCCATCACGCGACTCTGAGTGGAAACAGACACTGCTGGCATCTTACAAGAGTTTGATGTGTCTGTTGCTTTTTGAAAAAAAAAGGTTAGGTTGTCTCGCTGCCACGCGCAGGTTTGTCCTCAATTAGCTCTTGCGACACTCCATTGGCGTGCCTGGGTGTGGGGCGCGCGCCATAGAGGCGGAGCTCATAGGTCCCAGGTGGGAAGAATTCGAAGCTAACCTCTGCTGCTGACTTCTTGGCGCTACTCGGTCATCAATCTCGTCAAGGCACCGATTCGGAGATGTTGTCCGAAGCCTCGACGCACTTCCTCCCGGAAACGCGCACACATATTAAGTATGTCCAATCCTCGCACTTGGAACCCAAAACCCGACATCCAAAATTCAGTGCGCCTCTTCGTGCCCGGCATTCCAATCACTCGGTAATCCTGACCGACGGCCGCCAAGTCAAATGGAAACGGTCCAACGACCAGAATCCTTTTAACAGGAAGGGGCTAAATGGAGTTCGATACCAATTTGCGGGAGGATAGGTCTTCTCGGCATCATCAGCTCGATAACGCTATCATCAGGGTAGGTATGGCTCAAAATGACGGGCCCTTTAGGGACCATAGGGATAGAATTCTGGGGATTCCTATGAGGGGTTCCATGGAGCTGGAGGAATAGGCAGAGTAGAATCTTTGTGCATGTTTCCCCGAACGGACACCCGACTTATGCTGTCACCAGTACAGTATTCTTGAAGAGAAATAAAAACTTGAACAAAAAACCGTGCTGGGCTCATTTTAAGGAGTTAGTTGCTCCCATACTCTCCCTTCATGAACAGTAAGTCATGTTAGAGACGCAGGTAGGTGGTTTTTGCAAGGGTGCAGCTAGGCCCCTTTTTTGCAAAGGCGTTTTGATCCTGGAAGGCTTCAAATGACGTAAATTACAGCACCTCCTGGTTTTGGAATGCTTCCAATGCTGCAATTTACTGCACATGCTGGTCTTGGAACGCTTCCAGTGTTGTACTTGGGGCATTTGTTGGTCTTGCAACGCTTCAATTGTGGAAGACCTCACACTGTAGATTACAACATTTGCTGGTTTTGGGGAGCTTTACAGCATGTAAATTACGGCGTCTGCTGGTCTTGCAGCACTCCACGAACCACTCTTTCAACTAGTTCCTTGGGAAAAGGGTGTGATTTGGAATTAGGGAGCGGATAAGGCTTGGGTGCAAGGTTGGTGTAACTTGCTGCTTGACAGGGGAATAAGGAATGAAAAAGGAAATGGACATCGTGCACCACCTCACTGAGGATTATACTTGGGCCGTTGAGAGGATCCATTCCTGAATTCCCCACGAAGAAACAGGTTTATGATATGGCAATATCAAGTAGTAAGCCCACATGTTAAATCATTCGCATCATGTGTTGCCAGATTCGCCGCCACTTGCAAACTCCAACCCTAAACCCTAAAGCAGCATGATACCTGTGAACTCCACTGTAGAACCTTGGAGCCTTAAATCCAGAATTATTGGTCTTTTGCTATTGTTACCGTGGCCATGAACTCTATAACTTGCGCTACTGTAATCCGCTGCTTTTTCTTTGCTAATTATCATTGGCATTCTTGCTTCCACAAATACTTTTTGATTCTTGTTGTTAGAGCGGTTGATGGTATGAAACTGTACCGAAATTCTACATGTTGGGGTTTGTGAAAGAGACTACGCCGTGAAAACATGCTGCATTGCGCGGCGACAGACGCGCAGCTTCAAAGAAGCGTTGCTATTCGAGGCAAGCATTCGCGGCTTTAAAGAAGCGAGGGGTCGGGGGCCGCGCAAGACTCCCATTTGCAAATATGATGAGGGCAAGCATGCAAGGATCTAAAAAAGTGGGAGCGGGGAGGGGGCGCAGCTCCCCCATTAGCATAAAAAAATGATGATTGGGTGATCCGTCCTGTCTGGCATACAGAGTGCCCACATGCTGCTATGTGAGGCATGCATGCGCATCCTTACAGAAGGGAGAGGTTCGGGGGTGGCGCAGGCTTTTTTGTCACTTGCAAATATGTGATGACGGTATACTTCGTTCTTTTGCACACGGTGCCTACATGTTGCTCCGTGAAGCAAGCCCACACAGCTTTAAAGAAGCGGGTGTCTCCCCCAATTTTCAAACATATGATGATCTGATGATGGGGGCCACCGCACGACGGGAGCGAAGAAAGGGGACGACAGGACCAGAAGACCACAGGACCACCCGGACCAGAGGACCAAAGACCAGGGGAGAGAACCACAGGACCACGGGACCAGGGCACCAGAGGACCAGGGCCCAGAGGACCATGGAACTACTGGATATAAAAACCAGAGCCACACCAAGACATAGCCACATGTAGCCACACCTTTTGTAAAGAACCCATCCTGCTGACAAGTGGCAAAAAGGTTCTTGCGGTACGCTCTCCACTCAGGACGCTTTCCGCTGACGAACTTCCCAAGCATTCCTACCTGGCAGCATTTTTTTAAAACCGCTTGTATGGGAACGCCACAAAGCCATCGCAGAAAGCAAACCTACGACATTCCAGGCCTTCCCAAGTTCAGTGATATTGACCTGCTCGGAGCAGCACAACAGAACAACATGCTCCTTTTGCTCCGGCTGTCCTGAACACACAATCGAAGATCTGGATGACGAGTGGTAATGCCAACACAGCAGCAGACACACTATTGCCCGCAAGTTTTCCGACACTCAGCCGTGCCTCAGACCCTGCAGAAGCGAGGAGCATGCTGTAACCTCAAAGCAGCAAGAATTTCCCAAAAGGCCCCTAGAAGAATGTCAAGCCCATGAATTTTCCCGGAGAGTCCACACACAGCGACCCACTGTTGTTGTGCAACCTCAATTTGACAGCAATGCGAATCGTTCGTGCCAAATCACACTTCCGCCGACCGCCCTTGAGCTGCATGGCTAGCTTTGGCACCGGGAAGGTAAAGCTGCATTCTTCCTGACCATGAACATGTACTGCAGCCATCGTCACAAGTAACAACGCTCTTCTGAGATATCCAAGTGGAGAACTAAGTCCTGGGTGCGCCGTCCCGTGGCTGGCGCCTCAAGAGCCAACTTTCTTGCAAGAACTTCAAGATCTCTGCAGACCCTAAACACTTACTGGTACTTAAGGGTCGGTGGGCGAGAGGACCCTTTAATGTATCCCTATATTCCACATAAAGCGCCGATTGTACTGCTTACATTCACTCCTCCACTCCTCTCCAGCAATGGCAAGTCGAGCTCAAGCACCGCCCGTCTGACCTGCGTGCTGGTTGAAGGAGCTGCGGTGGAGGTTGTCATCGAACTCGCGGCCTGGGTCCATCAATGAGGCGCAGATCGTTTCCGAGAGGTCTACCAGCATGTTCCGCCAAAAGTCCGTTCTGACTAATTCCAGCCCTTTCTTCACCCCGCACTCTGAGAAAAGGCGGTAGGCTTCTGGCCCCAGGCGAGCTGACGTTAACCGTCCCCGTCCAAACCTTAGCAGTCTTGGAAGGCGCTTTCGGAAATTCTATGTTAGTTTGGGACAGGGTGAAGGGTACGGGCACTGACCACCTCTGGGGCGAGGACCAG